TTGGGGTTCATGCCCGTCCGGCGCACGGTGCGACATTCTTCACAAGTGCTTGAACGAATTCAAAGCGCATTTGACGGTTGCTAATGGCCATAATATTTGTTATGTGTTTGCTTTCTTCCTGCCTGAGCATGCCGAGATAATTTCAGACACACCGTTCCCGGCACAGATCTCGGGCGTTAGTAAAAGCTCATCCAAAAAGGCTTAGCGAGGAGTAGGGGACGCTTGTTAGGGCCTCCGTCGTAGCTAGCCGATCTCAGCGTTTGCGAAAAGTTAATCTTCTATCAGCATAAAATTTGAGTGGGAGATATATGATGACACGAGGAAGACATCATAGTAACTTTTGTGCAGTAGTGAGGTTGAATTTATTGCGTTTCCTTAAAGGTTCATGCGTAAATGCTGGCCTCAACTTTGATACTCCTGTGAGGATGTGGCTTGCTTTTCGCCCAATGAAGTAACAAGAAGCGGACGTTTGGCAAACAAAATGCGTGTAAGGCTCCAGACGAACAAATTTCAGTTGTAGTTCACTGGTACTAGACGAGATTACTGACATTGAGCTCAAAGATGCACTCGTCAAATGAGGTGGCTAAGCCACGACTTACTACGTTCGCATATGCACGCACAATATCCGGCGTATCGGGAACCAAAGAAAGTGCCCCGGTCTTCGTTTTGTATCGCTCGAGAATGAGTGTATTGTACGTTCGTGAAAAGTCAGTTAATTGAAAACGCAAACAGCGCGTTCGGTCGCGGCGTGATAGCATGAGATGAAGCTGCTGAGTCGAAACCGAAACTGAGTGGCCAACTAGTTCCTAGAGTGGACTGCGTGGTATTTTGCCGCGATGGGGCGCGTCGGTTTTGGAAGAAGTCTATTGATGCAAATAAATATTTTTTTAAGACTTTCTGGGTAGTATTTTACGTGGAAAATTTTCGCGGTCCTTAAACTGTTTCGTATTATACGCAGGTAAAACTTTTTTTTTTCCTTCGCTGTCCTCAAATCATGCTTCGTATTATATGCGGGTTTTTACGGTAACTTCACTTAGTTACAAGTTACTGGAAAAAGTACCACTGAGAAATGAAAGTACCTAGTAAAACTTTGGTTGGGGCTAGTTGGTTCATATCGATTAAAAGGTTAAAGGCGCGAACAAACATGACAAAAAAAGAGACACGTACGACACGCGCCTGTCCGTGTCGTACGTGTCTCTTTTTTCGTCCTGTTTGTTCGCGCCTTTTAACCTTTTAATAGAAAGTACCTAGGTTTGTACCTCAGGTACAACAAAATTACCTAGGTACCGATTGCCAGGTATGTGTACCTACCGCAGAATATCGTACATCCGCCCGTTCGGAACTAAGCGCCCACCCCCATAATTTGAAACATCTGAAAAAATATGCACAGAACATGTAAGATCAAATTGATGACTTCACATGCACCCATCCTCTATTTTTCGCAATTATCTTCAAATTTTTAGTGGGTGCTTGCTCGGTATTTTACGGTAGGCACTTTACAACCCTGATTATCACATACTGCTTTGCTTTTTATCTGCCTTCTAAAATTGCAAAATAGTCAACCAACATGAACTTTGCCTTCAGTTCCTGGATAACCTCACGTGCTACACATAGAAACGTCACAATGCGTCAAGCAGATGGTAGGGCACCACACATTTCCGGAAAGTTCTACAGCAGGGCGGGCGGAATTCTCTGGCACAATATAAAGAACAGGTCCACAAAAGAGCAATCGAGTGAAAATTGATCCTTGGAAGGAAATCTATACGGTTTTGAAGTGTTAAGAAGTCTGTGGAAGGTGGCAGTTATTCCAGGCATCACGTACGGGAACGGGGCAATTGGCCTCGAATCAAACAAGCATAATTTTCTAAAGACAAGGCAGCAAGAGGCAAAAGGAATGACCCCTGGAGCTTCCTCCAACGGCTCCAACAGAGCAGTCCAATGACACCTCGGCTGGTTGAGCATAGAGGACAAGGAGACAGTGGTGAAGCCCAGCTAAGAGAAACACCCGAGACAGATGGATCGGAAAAGGTGGACAAGATCTGCACCTACATGGTCTCCAGGAACCAGAACACCAAGTGGTGGGAAAGAAAAAGGACGCTCTCACATAACTGTCACATCCCAACACGACCTTTGATGGATAGCAAAGACCGGAGCACCACGCTGCAGCCGAAGCCAAGGTGGCGAGGACGCTCGTGCAAGAGGAAGAGACACGACACTGCCAAAATAGCATGGCCTAAAAATCATCATCATGGATGCACGGGGTAGAGAAGGACACAATTTAGAGAGTTTTTACGAAAACACTGGGGGAAGCAGTTTCTTATTCAATGCAAGAGCGAGGACTCTCCGAATGGAGGGCCCATTTCACCGAAGACGTAGAGACTGCTTGCGCCAGCTGAGGGAAGGAGGCATATAGTGATGGACTGCCAAGGTATAAGGCCACAGCCAGGAACGGACTTGTTCCTGGAGGCTCTTGCCATTGGGACAGGGGTAGAAGCCAACATAGACTCGGCAGAAGCAAGACAAGAACAGAGTATTAGAGAAAGAAGTATACACTCCGTGCGGGAACTATAGGGGGCGCTTTGAAAAACGCGCGTAGCGCCGCTAGCGGAGGAGCTGGCGTTCGACAGTGAGGCGCGTTCAGCAGCCTGCGACGCCTTTTCGCATGCGAAGCTGTGGCAGCGGAAGCGCGCACGGACGAAACTTTTGCTTTTAAGCCGATACGTTGAGGGTGACGTTGCATGAGTGCTGGGGCAGACCTAAAATGGCATCTAGCTGTTCTCCACTTCTTATATATGGAGTTTGAGTCGTTATTAGGTGTGATTTCTCTAGTTGCGGCCGAAAAAGGGGTTAGAGCAATTTTACGAAAAGCAAGACGGCCGTCACCATAATTGCTCTGAGTGGGAAATTTGTTTGGCTCGTCGCTGTAAACGGAACTGCTGAAACGATGATATTTGGAGGCGAGTGAGATGTTCACTAAACGAAGTGTGCCAAGTTTCATTAAGACAGCACGCGTGGAAGTTATGTTTCTAACGAATAAAGAAATAAAGCTGTACGGGATATCCAATATTGGACCCAAAATGTTGTGTTATAACTGGGCTGTGCGAAGTTCAGATTTGGGCACACAGGTGCTTGGACTTGACAGTAACATGATACGGCACTTATTATACCAAAAATAGGTGGCATAGGGAAACCAGGTGGAAATTTGGTTTGGGTGGTGTAACCCAATGGCAACCGGTTTTGACCATGAAAGGGCTGTCAAGACCATACCACTCGTCGTGTGAGGCGGAGACTTTACAGGTAGGAAGGGACTAGTGGACTGCACTTCCGATTGAAACAACTTTACGAAAGGTGGTTCTAAAGCCGAGAAAACAAAGTTGTTGGCCAACACAAGGTTTAGCCGCCAAAGGCTTTTGCGGTCAGCTGTTGTGTAATAACCTGTTGCGCGAGGTGCTGACTTTGAGCACACAGGTACTTTGACGTGACCGTAACTTGACACAACACTTATTATACCAAAAAGAGGTGGGATAGTGAAACCAAGTGGAAATTTAGTTTGGGCGGCGTAACTAAATGGGAACCAGTTTCGACCGTCAAAGGCTGTCAAGATAATACCACTCATCGTGGGAGGTGCACACTTTACAGGTATAGAAAGGGACAAGTGGGGCGGTACTTCCAGTTCGAACAACTTTGTGATAGGTGGCTCTAAAGCCGAGAAAAAAATTGTTGTCTACAGAACTCGGGGTGTCAGTGTTTCCACATTCAAAAGGAGGCTGATCAAAAAAGAAAGCACACCACATAAACTTCCATACTCAATCGTCGATTCTCCAGTGATTCCGAGTTTCATTGTAGTTTCCCTTAAATTCATATTTGTCACTTTTCTTTTTTACCGTTCGAATCTTTCTACATGAAGTACAGATTGCGTGCCATACTTGTCCGGAAATATCATCGACACGTACTATGGACACGAAACTCCTTTGGAGGGCATTCCTCCAACGAAATACGAAATTGGCACTGTATACCCGCGAGTGTGGGATGGCATTTCAGTTCGTCCCATCGGCGCTAACACATATAGACGTCACTGGTACGAAAACAAACGCAGAGCGTAAAGCAGCAGTGTAGAATATGTCAGCCGTGCCGACACAGTGGCAGATACGATCGGAAGACTGAATTTCTCGCGTAGTACGGCACGGGTCCATCGTTGTCGCTGTCCCACAAAATATCAGCGAGGTGAAAAACTGTGAAACGTCCCCACGAGATACGACGCATAACTATTGAAGTACTTAACGACGCAACACCGGCAGCACTTCATGCTGTGAACCCAGCGCAACAGCACCGCTCCGACTTCAATGCGTACCAACGTACGTGGCGTGGTTTCGGTTTCGTTTTCTCTGGGGTTCTCAATGCCTACCTTCGGTAATGGCCGCGCGGCGGCGCACCACTCGCGTCGCACGGAGTGTATATGATGTACAACGGGTCCTCCCCCCCAAAAATGTAGTGTTTTTTCACCGCCGCAATAAACTATGGATTGCTGAACACTCATTCAACGCTAAAGTGCAGTGCTAGCAGTTTGAACCAGATGCCAGTTTTGAGAACAAACGATTGTCTCATTTAAAAGTTAGGTGATTTTCTAAAAAAATTAATGGAAAAAATGGGGGCCCATTTTAGCTCGTTTTTAGGTGACTGGTGCCATTCAGCTTCGTGAATTCGAGTACTTTATAGACTGCCATTTTCTGATAAAAACTTCAGAAATTTGCTTATAACTTTTCATTAAGATATCGGTTAGGTCTGAAACTTTCGCATCTGGTTCGAACCACTAGGATATCATTTGGGTGGAGAATGAGCGTTCACCTAGGCATAGCTTACTTTCGTGGTAAAAAAATGCTGTAATTTTTTTTTCTTTTGATGGGGGGCGGGGATGCCAAAATAAAACTTTCCAGAGAGCTTTTCTGCCATCAGCATTCCTTCAGCTAAGATATGCAATGGCTGGAAAAGAACACTAACACTGGATGCTTGAACTGTCTCTATTTATTTGGAGGAACACCAATACAGAACTCTGATTACATATTTATCATCTGCAGTTTAAGATATAAAAATGCATTACACAATGCAAAACTATGCACACATTGACCAACAACACACAGGATGCAGTAAACCGAGCAAAAAAATGGATGTGTTAGTACAAAAGTCATTGTCTGGCATACATGACACCTACGATCCGAGAACTCCGACATACAGGTACACGGAAACAACTATCAAGAAGAAGAATACAGAGCAACAGAAAATTGTGACCACCTAAACACAAGAGCGATATCTCAAAGCAGGTGTCATATGAATACATGATTATGAAGGTGCCAGTGGAGGAAAGGATGCAAGAACACTTAGAATTTGGGCGAGTTCAAGTCAGTTCAATTCTCTATATCCCTCCTTCAACACAGTGGTGAAAAAGCATTATGGAGTATTAAAAATTGACACGCTGTCAATTGTAAAACCTGCTTGGTGGAGTGGGAATACGACTATACTAGGGGGACAGCTTTTCTCGGACTTTCAGAGAAGAGAGCGCACGCACAACTTCCATAAGTGCTCAAAATTGGAGAGGGAATGCGTGCCAGTGCCTTTGACGGTAGTAAAGTGGTTAGTTGGGCGAGTTGGTAATGATTGAACATGATTAAAATTGTGCACAAATAGAAAGGAACGGAGAAGAGGGAAGAGAGAAGAGACAAGCGCAAAAAAATGTGGAACGCTTCACGATTTTGCGTCCCCGAATCCCCGAGTAGAGCAAGGTTCAAATCGGGAGCACGAACCACTGCAGTGCACACACATTCAAAAATCGGTTCCAAGCCAACTTGATTGCTAAAATGGAAGGGCACGCTACAGCATGAAGAAATTAAAACCTAAAAAATTACTTTACACTAGGGTACTAGGATCGCAAAAGCAGAAAAAAGCCAGTATAGGAATTAAAACTGACACTTCGTTTTTTGATAATCAAAAGAAAATTTGCTTACATATTTATTTTCTGCAAGTGCCTATATTTTAAACAGACAGGAGTAAAAACAAACATATGAGAAAAAACCTAAAATGAGCTACACTGACCTATTTCCATCTATTGAAAATTTTAAAGGTTTGTCATTACACTGACCAACCCCTTGATCACTTCTGGCAAGGAATTGCTTCCTACTCGTCAACACATTTGTGTGATTACAAACAGTAGCATTCAGATGAAAGGCTTGTAGCAATGCAAGAGTTTGGCTATGTGTGCACAATCAATGTGGTAACCATACTGGATATGCAACCAACCGTTCTGAGAAGTAGACAGCTCATAAGGCCATTCCCTGCCACCTGATTAGTGCAAGTGCCCTTAGGTTCGTCATCCAAAGACACAGCCATACTATAAGGTTTTTCACAGCTCTGTGTTTATGGTGGATCAGATCAGCACAAAACAGATGCATCATAAAATGTACAGGAAAATTGCTGTACTTTAAGTCAATGCATTAATGTCAGTTTAGGGCACCACATGCATTTATACACTTCAACTGAAATGGTGTATATCTCTACATGAGTCAAATGATTCCACAAGTTACAGAGCATGGAAGGCTAAACTTGCAGCTGTTTCGTAAACCTTTCCGTGTAAGTGCACTTGATTGTGGCGGATCAAAATATCATTCTCACCCGTGCACGCTCGGTTACGGAGGGATACAAAAATTTAGATCAAAGCTTGCACTTGTATATCTTTTCACTTATGAGGTTTTGGTGTGGTTCATAAAATTGCAATTCCGAGCAGTCATGGAAACACAGCCGCACTATAAGGTTTTTCACAGCTGTGTTTGTTTATGGTGGATCAGATTGGAATGAGCCAAGGCTAGGGGACGCCTGTACAGGGGTGAAAGCAAGCTTCAGCCTTTTGTAGCAGGTCTGAGAGCAGCAAAGATGCCCCTTTGGAGCAGCTCAGGAACCACAAAAGTAGAGTTTCGTAGCTGCTAAAGTAAACCCTGGAGCTGGTCACCCAGGTCGAACTTGGGTCTATAAGCACAGAAATTGTTTCTAAGTACAACAAATATCATAACGAAAAAGCATCTACATGTAACGTACAGCACCATTTCCAAAAATACCCTTTTCTTAAATCCTAATCCAGCCCTTACCATTAAAAAGCAAACATCATAAATGCAATTTATCTAAATGATAGGTTTTGAAAACTGTCCTGGTAGAGGGTTGGTTCCTCTTATAGGTTTCCAATAGAAAGCATAGTCAACAAAATAAGCACAGCTTAAGCGTCATAAAAACAATACATTGTGCCTATTTAACAACCCAAATCACAAGTATCCATAATTTGAAAACAAAAACATTCAAAAATGCAATAGTATGGGATGAAATTAAGCCAAATGCTAACTGACTATAGTTTTCATTACTAGGGGATACAAATGTTCCCCAAGTCCTGTTTAGCAAACATAAATGCATTCCTATACTCAAGTCAACAGAATACAAATCTCTCATTATAGTACAAATGCAGAATATTGAAAAGTTCATGATATCTTCTCTGCTCATACACAACTGCCTAAGACCTTACTAAAACAAGCATGACTAAATAGAATAAAAAAGCTTGTTTAGGAGTTTGCTAAAAAACGTGGCTGACAAAACTAGCAAGTCTCAGTACTTCTGACAAAACCACCTATGCAGTTCCCATTTTCGAAGATCAGACACCTACATGCAATCTTGGCCGAGCTCTGGCACTGACGGCACAAAGCAACGCACCCAAACAAGTGCTTCGACGGCACTGGTACGGAACGGACAACTTTAACAAACAACTCGTGCGGTTTTCCCCTGTGCTGCTGGCACTTGACAGCTCACCAACATACGACCACAAAACGGAGCACTGTCTACTTACCTGGTCTTGAATAAATTCTCACAATTTTCGTTAGATTAAAATGGGCAATCGACACCTGTTTTCATAAAAAAGTCACCTGCTTTCATAACTAAAAAAAACTTTTTTGGATAGTTTTGGCGCAACATTTGTGCTTGGGAAGAGGATGGTGCAGCAAAAATGGAATGGCACACAATGGCGCAGCGCTTCTACCCCTGCTTGTATGGCTCTTCACCTGCGTGCTTGATTATGGCTTCTGAGGTGAAAATTTTGAGCAAAGGCTCGGGGTGTATGCAGGCATTTGTATGGCTTATAATCCGTGTGCTCGACTGTGTTTCATCAGCTTACTACTTTGAGCAAAGGCTTGGGAACATAGCTAGCATTTAAATGGCTTTTCACAACTGTGTTCATCTATTGCAGATTAGATAAGAACTCTGAAAAAGTGGCATTTGGCCACATCTTGCATTTAAATTATTTTTCACCAGTGTTCGATTATGATGTCTCAGATGTGAATTCCATGCAAAGGCTCAGGAGCACAGCCTGTACTTAAATGGCTTTTCCTACTGTGTATTTGGTTTTGGCGGCTGCTTTAGAATAGAGACCAAATGCTTGTGGATAAAACTTACACTTGTATGGTTTTTCACCTGTGTGGGTCCGATTATGGCAGATCAGATTGCCTCTGAGAAAAGGCTTGGGGGCATACCTTGCACTTAAATGGCTTTTTACCTGAGTGCGTTCGATTGTGGCAGATCAGACAGGAACCCTAAGAAAAGGCTTTGGGGCACAGCTTGCACTTAAATGGCTTTTCACCTGAATGTCTTCGATTATGGACGATCAGACCACAACTCTCAGAAAAAGCTTCGGGGCACAGCGTGAACTTAAACGGCTTTTCACCTGTGTGTGTTCGATTATGTTGAATCAGACTGGAATTTCGAGAAAAGGCTTGGGGGCATAGCTTGCACTTCGGCTTTTAACCTGAGTGGTCTCGATTATGGCGGATCAGATTGGAACTCTGAGAAAAGGCTTTGGGGCACAGCTTGCACTTAAATGGCTTTTCACCTGAATGTTTTCGATTATGGACGATCAGACCAGAACTCTCAAAAAAGGCTTCGGGGCGCAGCTTGCACTTAAATGTCTTTTCACCTGTGTGTGTTCGATTATGGCGGATCAGACTGGAATTCCGAGAAAAGACTTGGGGGCATAGCGTGCACTTAAATGGCTTTTCACCTGAGTGGTCTCGATTATGGCGGATCAGATTGGAATTCTGAGAAAAGGCTTTGGGGCACAGCTTGCACTTAAATGGCTTTTCACCTGAATGTGTTCGATTATGGAAGATCAGATCAGAACCCTCAGAAAAAGCTTCGGGGCACAGCTTGCACTTAAATGGCTTTTCACCTGTGTGTGTTCGATTATGGCGGATCAGACTGGAATTCCGAGAAAAGGCTTGGGGGCACAGCTTGCACTTAAATGTCTTTTCACCAGAGTGTGTTAGATTATGGCGGATCAGACCAGAACTCTCAGAAAAGGCTTGGGGGCACAGCTTGCACTTAAATGGCTTTTCACCTGAGTGTATTCGATTATGGCGGATCAGACTGGAATTGTGAGAAAAGGCTTGGGGGCACAGGTTGCACTTAAATGGCTTTTCACTTGAGTGTGTTTGATTATGGCAGATAAGACTGGAACTTTGAGTAAAGGCTCGGGAGCACAGCATGCACTTAAATGGCTTTTCACCTGAGTGTGTTCGATTATGGCGGATCAGACAGGAACCCTGAGAAAAGGCTTTGGGGCACAGCTTGCACTTAAATGGCCTTTCACCTGAATGTCTTCGATTATGGACGATCAGACCAGAACTCTTAGAAAAGGCTTGGGCGCATAGCGTGCACTTGAACAACCTATCACTTTTCTGCTTTTCAGTGTTGCTGGACGCTTTGGATCTAGAGGCAGGTGACATGGGAGGATGCTGGTACTTGAACTGTTCATCACCATGGGCGACCAGGTGGTTCACAATCCCACGCTGATCTCTGGTGACATAGGTACAGGAACAGCACCCGAACCAGATGTCCTCAGTGGCTTTCAATGGGCAGCTGGTCTCTCCCAAAAGTGCAGCTCCCTCTCCTACAAGGCCTCATGTGTATTAGGGCACACTAGGAAAGCACAACAAAAATAGCCACATGTTTTAGAAATAAGCAGCCATTATTGTAGTTCTGCATCAGCTGAGTGGTTGAATTTCATTTTTGCCATTTTTACGTCAGTTCAAAGCACTCAATTAAACAAATTTTGGGTTGGACAAAAAAATGTAGATTGGCGTATAACTAATAGCATATCATTTTGTAAGCTAAAAAAGGTAGAAAAGCAAAAGCCTATTTTTTGGTATAAACATCTGAAAACATAGCAGACTATTTTGTACCTCCTGTTCTTTGACATATCTCTGTTTTTTCACTGCGATACATCCACGGTACCCAAACATGTCACTCGAACTCAAAGCCGCAAAGTATGTCACACGACACCCAACCTGACTATTCCGTTCACCCGTAAGCAATTTGTCGCCAAAAAGTATACCTACTTGAAAGTTTCTTTGCATGCCGTGTTGCCTGAGTGATCTTCTAAATAGCAATTTGGAGAAATACTTTTTGCAAGTACATGATAAAGTGTGATATGTTTGTCAAAATGATAATGAAAAGAATGAGCTCAAAGCAGCAGCCACATTTGTGAAAGCACAGTTCCTGCACGTAGGAAGAGTGGATTTTTGTGCATAACAGTGAATCTCAAAATGGATGAATGCACAATTCTGCTCCCGTGGGAGCTCATATACAGAAACCCTAGCCCAATCTACTAACATCATTGCACCCTGCCATTGATCTACCCTACTTGTTTGCCCAGAGAAAAATACACATGGTAGTGTCAAATAATAATGTGGAAGGTATGTGCTTAGCAGCATAAGAAAATTTGTACAAAGAATCCATCGAACTGGCTGCAATGAAAGTTTTCACAAAGTTGTGTTTAGGTGGGGCTTGTATTATATCGAAAGTTCATGGGTGTAGATTTTAGCTAAGTTGAAACATCATAATTTTGCCAAAGTACAGGGAGCAAAAAGGTTAGAACCACCTGGTCGGAACTGCCGCTATTTAAGAATTGCCCCCTTTACTTTGTAGCTCGCCACTATTTTGCATTTATTTCAGTGAAAAAAGTACAAATTGTTCTTCATGTTGAATTTCTACACATACTATGTATTTCATCATTCATAAGATGATGTCAAAATAAACAAATATTTCTTTAAAACTTGGTCAACTTTTCTATAGCGAAATACCACCACAGATACACCAGATGTTTTAATTACCAATGCCTTCGTCACGAGAAGCAGCAGATTTTTGATAGGAAATATAAGAAAATAGACTCTACAGAAAAGTCGCACGAAAATATATCTTGCTGAGCAGCACTTTCCTTTAGAGATGTGCAATGTACTTATGTTTTTTGCTAACTTAAGTGCTTTATATTAGTTTGTTAGATACCTGTAGTTATTTTACTAGATAACCGCAAAAAATCTTTTTTTTAACTCCTAGTCTATTAAAATAAAAATATTCAAAATGGTAACACTTTTGTTTGATGCTGCGTGTGCCAGAGAAGGCACCACTTATTAGACAAATAATAAAATTAGATGACAAAGACTACTGTCAATATTCTAAAATAGCCTACTTGTATCCCCCATAAAGAGTGCAAGGGGCCATTAGTGTGGATTAACATATTCACATTTGATGAATACAACAATTTCCCAAAGAAAACTAGGACCCTACAAACAAAATTTAGTTTAATCCAACTGCCCCAAAACATTGTGCAGGATTTGAATAGCTTAGCTCATGGCCTTAAAGGGTAACTGCAAAGAAAAAAAAGTTTTTTTTTTAAACAGCCTAATTGGGACAAGCATGTCACAAAACAAATGTTCCGCGGAAAAAATTATTTTTTTTTATCAATATTTACGCCACAGGACGTAATTTAGTAGAGTCAGAACCTCTCCACATTTGAAACTCCCGCTCTTTTGACCCCCGCGGAAGAGGAGTACGCCCCGCCCCTCACTCTCCTTGCGTTGCGGAGTTGAACGACGCAGCGTCTCGACTTCCGGCAAGATCTGGCAACTACGCCAGGCCGCGGTTGGTTTGACGCGGTTTGCGAGCACATGCAGTGATGTTCCATGCAGGGAATTTTCCCTTTTCCAGGGAATTTCCGGTCTGAATTTTGGTGAAAAGGGAAATGGGAATTTTAACAGGTTTGCAGGGAATTTTAAGGATTAACGAGGGAATCCGGGAAAAGCTTTAGAGGGAGCTAAGCACACTAACAAGTTGAGTGGTCTAAAAGTTTTATGAAGAGAAAGAAAGTTGTGGTGCAGGAAAAATGTGTCTGAACGACTCATTTTGAAGTAGGTTTAGGAAACTTCTACTTGACTTGAAGTACATTCTCCGTGCGTGTACTTGTACATTATTTGAAGTAATTTTTTCCGGTACTTTGCGAGAAAAAGTACAACTTCCGAATTCAATACATTCTCCAAATTTGAGAAAAAGAAAAGTGTATTGTTATGTAAAAACACGCTATTGTCTTTCAAGATGTTATTCGGTAATTATTTGAGTCAAGTAATAGCGGCAATAAGATCGATGCAATTAAGTGTTAAATAATTTGTCAGCTAAAGTGAGATGACTACTCCGTGGCCACTTTATTTTGAAAAATAACTGATGCACCCTCGATTACCCCCATGAAAGATTATGTTAAAAAGTACTTGTAATTTACTTTGGAAGTACATGATATTTATAGTACTTTACATACTTACTACTTTACTTAAAGTACATAACCTCTAATTTTCTTTGTACTTTACACCAAGTACTTTTTAGATGTACTTTATTAAACACTGCTAAATATTATATTATTTAGTTAATAAAAATATAAACTGACCGCCTTATTAAAAAGCCAGTCTAAATTTTCACTTATTAAACTGGAAATCTAATTGAAATTGTTTCTCGAAACCTGGAATCCCAGTTCCGTAACCCACATAGTGAAAAGTTATACTGGGTTTCTTGGTAGGGCAGTAATATTTTCTTCTCTTTAAACATGCGATTTCACGTAGCTTTTGTGGTAAAATGCACGCATATAGTGGCCTGCATGACCACAGAAATCAGCTGATGCGAAAATAAAGGTATCAAATGCAGGGTAATATGCGGAGATATTTCAAAACTTTGCAGGGAAAAAGTACCTCAAAAAGGGGCTTTTTGTACCTAAGAAAGGGAATTCTTGGACATGGTATGGAACATCACTGAGCACATGTAGCGAAGACCTGACCGGAGAAGTGCCCCTGTGATGTTCCCGGAAGACGGAAAGTATCGTTCGTAATCGTCGTGCGCGCTTTGAAAGCGAAGGGAGTCACAGAATCCACGAGTGCGCAACCATAAGCCAAGGTTCACGACAGCGCTGCGTTGGTTTCGGCGATCTCGTTCTGTTTGGTGCAACACGGCGATGCGACAGAGCTGAAACGTTCGTGGTGTGTGTAATGCGGTGCTAACACGGAGCGCAAATTGGTTGTTGTGGTGTTGACGTTCAACCAGTTAAGTCCCGTCGTCGTCAGCTGATCCAGTCAAACTGGTCCGGGAGGACACTGGGAGCGTTTTTAAAAGTAAATCTGCCTCGTTCTGTTTCAAAATGTGGAAGTTTTCCAACGCATACCGTGAGTAAAAAGCTGCGGGCGTTTTCAACAAACTTACGTCGTTTTAATTGAACAATGGACTCCGAATTGTTGTCGTAAATCTGCCGTTTTTATGCTTCGTGTTGGACTGCGTTTGTACAGCGACGTGTTGCATCGTGCGGTGTAAATAAATTTGGGCACGATTTCGTACCTGCCTACAGATGCATGAACTGGACCATTTTTACGTAGTGGACATAGTGCTTTTTTATTTTCTGTCTAGTCGCGGACGTTAGGTGCACACGGGGCGAATCTCGACGGCCTCCAGAGTGATATGACGAGAACGTAACTAGACACGTTGGTTGCTACGCGAACGCCCGATTGCCTCCAGCCAAATAGAATTCCTTTCGGGGCGACATGGCTGCTGGAAGGCTCACTGTCGGGATCACACATCTGACATCTCCGAAAAGTCAGCATTTGCACGCGCCAACAAGCAAAAAAAAAAAAAAAAAAACACGCTATGCAAGCAAAGAGGAAAACGAAAGAACCGCGCTATGAAAGCCAAAACCCCGCGTCGCTTTCTATCACTAACACCTGCGACAGCAACTAAACACACACTACTTCACTTCAAGAAGTCTCACTCAAGCACCTGGGTCAGCACGAAACGACGAAACACTGATCACTTCGGTGAAACGATTATTCGAGGTAGGCGAGACAGGCGGGAGCAGAGACTTCGGCGGCCATGAAAGAACGGCGAAGCTTTTGTTTGTATGAATCCAAACGGAAGTGCCCGTCTTGTAAACCTTTTGTAAAGAATAATAACTCTCATCACATGGGTTATTCTTTAAACGTAAAAATATGCGGCTCAAAAGGAAATTGCAACATATAACAAAGGTTTAACAACCGGATCTAAGCTGTCAATCAAACTCTTAGCCAATGAGAACTTTTTGGGATTGACGTCACATAATCACAACTTCATGGCGCGCGATTTAAAACGGACGAAATAGCCGCAAACTAAAATGAGTTTCACGCAATGAATATTGCTGTAAAAAATGTTTTTTCTCGCGGAAAAATTGTTTTTTGACATGCTTGTCCTAATTAGGCTATTTAGAAAAAACTTTTTTTTCTTTGCAGTTACCCTTTAAAGGATATAAAAACATGTTCAGTTCATTCATTCCCACGTCACTCCAAAAGCATAATATTGGGGGATCCACAGCCCTGACACACTACCACTCACGTCGTGTCGATATCGTAGCAGGATCTACCGTAAACAAGCTTCTGGCTAGCTGCGCCTTTACGATCGCCACTGCCCCTTTCCTGATCATTAGATTGTCTAGGCTGCCTTGACTCATCAAAGCAACGAACCCCGTAAACAAGCAAGCAACGTACTTTGCAGATCACTGCCAATGGCTCAACTAAGTGTATATGCACTTATTTTCAACATTGTTTACTACAACGTGATGTCTAAGAAAAATCTGTTCTAATATATTTGCAGATGTGGTGATCCCCATATAGCGGCAAAACTTAATAAAGAAACTGAATTTTGCTAACACTGATATATGGTCACGTATTAGCTGAGTGCAGGTAAAAATGAACTTTATGATGCTCTGAGCCCTTCTACACCAAACTTAGGTCCACAAGGTGATGCAGTGAAGTGCCACTCATGAGTAGCACTTTGAGCACCATGCACGCGAATAAAGTGGGAACCCTTTTGGCCCATGCGGCAAGCTCTGCCCTTTTATCGCAGTGGCCACCATCCCAAGATGGCAGTGTAATGTTGTCCCTAGGGTAACGGTTGGCATTATCATTCGGCGAGTGGTACCCAGAGTTCTTGCCAGTCTCAGAAGAAAACAGCTGGAAATGGGAGGCAGCCTTTTGAAACCAGCAAGACGGCACTGTCTAAAATTTAAATGTAAAGATACATGGCTTAACAATTTTTTTAAATTCTGGATGGATGGATGAATTAGGTCAAGGCACTTGATTTGAACGGTCGCTTGAGCAACTTTGGCTAAGGTATAACTAAACTTCCTCCTGTTCCAGCATTTATTAGTTTGATCCAACCTTTTGGAGATCTCCTATTCCTTCATCAAATCCTCCCATACCCAGGCAAGCTTAGGTATGTGGCTTAGGTAGGTATAACACCCTCTAATTTAGCCATAAAATGAACTTCCAGAAAGCAGAATCCCAGTTAGGTTACATATATGGTGCCAGTGCATAAAAATAAACTGCGATAATCCAAGCCCTTCTACCCACTGTTGGGTCCACACGGTAATGCACTGAAGTGCCACTCATGCGTAACACAGATTTGCTTCACTTCAATCCTTACATATGCCAATTAACTTGGAATCACTTTGGTCCATTCCTCCTAGAAGGTGGCAAGCTTTGTCTTTCTTTACTTAATGGCCATTGTCCCACAGTGGCAGTTTACTGTTGTCCCTTGGGAAAAGGTTACCATTATCATGTGGTCAGTGCTACCTATAGATTTTGCTAGTCTCAGAGGAAAACAGCTGGAAATGGAAGGCAGCCTTCTGGAACGAGACAGATAGCATTGCATGAAATTTGGATGGAAAGATTCTCGGCTCAACAATATTTTTTATCCTGGATGGATGGATGAATTGGGGCATGGCGCTTTGGTTTGAGCAAACCCTTGAGAAACTCTGCCCAAAAAATAAACTGAATTTCCTCCTTGATTTTTTTCTTCTTCACTTCAATGGCCTTCTTTAGCTTTTCCCATTATACTTCAAGCCTTCTCTTAGTTTGCTTAACCATTTGGAGATCCCCTATTCCTTCATCAGCCCCTCCCATCCCAAAGCAATACAGAAGTCCACCTCAATTTAGGTATGTACCGGACTCCCATACTTACATGCTCTGCTGTTACCTTTGCCTGTACCCAGTGTCTCCTCATATCGCTACCTATAACTCATGGTCTGTAGTACCCCCGTCTTTACCTCAGACGATAGACAATTTCATTTTGAACTGATAAAAAAGTTCTCCTTTCTCCATCTTAATTTTTGCGCACAGTAGTTTGGTAATAGGAGTTTCTTTCGTGCTTTCCGTTATGGGCCACAATGAACCACAAGTCTGGCTAATGTTTCAGTTTGAGATCTTATTTGTTCACTTTCCAACGGATAACAGCATGTAGGGTTTTTGTAGTTTGTTTTATATTTATCAAACTGCCGACCCCCTGACCCCCCCATACACACACACACACGCACACACACACAAAACCCGGAAAAAAATTAGATGTCAGCAACGTAAAAAAAGGTGGCATGGCCTCAATGCGCATGTTTTTAGCCGAAGAAATACTCAAAGACTTCAGTTTGCAAGCGTTTGCAATCCCCCCTCTGATACCTTGAGCACTCTATTTGAAACCATAATTTGTACGAAAACTGAAAAAACAAAAAACATTCACCTGGCTTTTAGATGTTGCTCCCTACCTTATTGAATGTTTTCAAGAGTATGACATGCTCAACAGCTACTAAATGTACGCATCAGATGGCCAAGAATAGGAATGTTTTCTCTAATGTTCGCAAAAATTATAGATTTCCAATAAAACTTTGTGGCATGTTTTGCAAATTAAAAAAATTGGGAAGCAATGGCTGACATTCTACACTGTTCATTGTTTACCAATTTTATCCTAGTACCTTGCAGAAAGCCTGCTTCCTCTATCTCATCTTCACCTTCCCGTATGTAAGAACTCCAAATTAACCTTGCCTCACACTCTTTTCCTACTGCCACAAACTTTCCCTAAACATCAATCCTAATGCTTGCTTCCCTCCCTGAAAAGCATAATCCATATCTCTCTGCACATTTTCATCTGAGCGTCCCAGGTGGAGGATCTCCGAATCAGCATGGATTGGTAGGAATCCGTAGACAGCTGTACAAGAAGCGCTGCTTTGGGCTATGACCACCTGTAGTCTAAACACAGCCAGTGTACTCCCGTTATGAAAGAGGTGGAAACGAAGAACTTACCAAGACTTAAGAACTGGATCGGTTCCATTAGAATGGCTGGCTGCGATCAGGTTTGAAAGTAGGCATGGACGATCACGAAGGAGGGACTTGAGATGACTAGGACCAACTGTAGAAAGCAATCACCGTAATTAAGAACAAAGTAGGCACACCCTCCAAGCATATCAAGCTAGGTAGACAGCTATGAGGATAACACAAAAGAGACACACCCACAATTTTGCCATTTTGAGATAACAGTGACAAATGGAAGAGAAAATGAAATGCTGTGTGCCTAGCAATGGGTGGTCGTTTGCGTATCTTAACACAATCCGTTTTCTTGCTTTCTGTCGAATTGCCATTACAGTCTAATTCCTATCAGTTAAAGGGTAGACTTGCAAAAGATAAAATCTGAGATAACAATGATGCTGGAACCTATTAGTTTTCCCTATAAATTTGCTAAATTTGTTTAATAGACAGCACTTAGTTTTTCTAAGTAGATCGAACTGGGAGCTTTGGGACCTTCGGATACACCCATACAGGAAGGCCGCCATGTTCCTCTTTCCAAAAAACGTTTCGGGTGTTGCTTAATGCTTAACATTACGAGTATTCGCACATTGTGAAGTTTCAAATATTCCTTTAAACTGGGTTGTTGAAAAAATATATTTTCGGGAACAAGCTGGCAGTTACGGCAAATGTCAGTTACGGCAAATGGGCACTTGTCCGGTCCAATCGGGCGGTTATCGTATAATTTCTAAATTCCGAAGTTTGGGAAATGTTAATGGTTGGCACTGGAACGAAGTGGGCGCCTCTCCGGTATTTTTGGTAATTAGCAAATCAAATACCAAAGTGTGCTAAATTGTTAATTAGTAAAAATAAACACGGTTTGATTAGGAAGTTTGTTAAGACTCATCAAAAAAACCTTAAATCAGTCAACCTTGGGAAGAGTTAAAGCATGTGTCAAACATGAAAATATGTTTAAGCTTCCACTCGTTCAGCAGGCGGAAGGTTGGCGATGCAAAAACACTAATGATTTTGTTATCATCGGCATTTTCACATTGCCAGCCTTCCTCCTGCTTCACGAGTGGGAACTTTAGCGTATCCCCACGGTTCGCACACGCTGTCTTCCTATAATTGACTAATCTTTGAGTTTGTAATGACGCTCAGCAAGTTTCTAGTCAGGACCATATCTTCATTTTCACTAATTTGTGGTTCTTTTCTGCAATCTTCGACCTACCCCATGGTCGGCAGTTTGTTCCCGAAAAGAGTTTATTTTTTAACTCTTAAGTTGTTTCTGCAAACGCTTTTGAAAGTTCCTACAAACTTTCAAAAGCGTTTGCAGAAACAGCTGGTATAGTCTGCAATGAAGTGACATCAACTTTGGAGGATGCCACCTCCGCATCTTTGCACCTGGTCTTATGCAAGCAGGGGAGAAGATAGATGTTGCAGTTCCCGAATGTACGGTCCAACAATTGATAGATCAGTGTTAAAGAGTTACGAAGTTGAAATGCAAACTGCACAGAGACTGATCGTTGCAGCTGGTTGTCATAGCCTTACACATGGCTCGGACTAGACATCCTAGATTGGCTCCCAGGAAGGGAGCCCGAGTTGCTTGTTTGTTTTCCCCTGGAACCGGGTCACTCATCAGAGTCCAACTCGTCACCGGAAAACTTGTTACAACTGGTCACAACGGCCTTCTCGATCGAGGTCATCTTGTCATAGGAACACTTGGCACAGGCGACCGCTTGTGCTCATCTTTGCTTTGGAAGGAGCAAACTCAACCTTGCTTTACACAAAATAATCGCACCGCTCGGAATTAGTGCTAACATGTTTTTACCAGGCCTGGACAGAGATACTCCAAAAAGTATTTGGGAATACAAATTCTGAGATACATGTTTTTTAAGGCCAAAATATAGATACTGAGATACATTTGCCTTTTATGCAACGGGATATCCCTGAGATACTTCCGCAATAACGGCGAAAAAGTTTCCGGAATACAGATACAGATACTTATAGAAATACATTTGTTCCCGAACGGTGCTACGTAGAGAGGGTGCCATTCGTGGCGAATGCGAAAGGCAATTTATGCTTGTGCTCCTCTTTTTGTGCCATTTTATGCACTGCTCATTACCTCAAACTCTTTATCTATCATTGATTCTGGTAAAAAAACATGTCACCCCCGTTGAACCACATAGTTACAGAACGGTAAAGACTGCGCACCCTGCTTGACAAAAGGCGTCTGCCCGAAATGAACCCAGTTTTGCCGTAAGGGTGCATCTCAAACTGTCACATTATGAGCCTCTGAGTCACCCATAGTGTAGGGAGATTGGACAACAGGGCCATACTTTTTCTCCACCCAACTTCTTTACAGTGTTCATTCCGCTAAATTGGAAAGAGTAGAGGGCTTCGTGAAAGGAGCTGATTTTGTGTTCCTTGCAAGTAACCTTCTTTAAACCGCAATTTTATTTTTCTTATCGTTGGTGATTGAAATGGATTAAGTTATAGTGCAGGTTCATATTATAAATTTCGAAGCAAGCTGCACCAAACATGTTTTTATCCTTTAAATTTATCTTAAAAAGGGCAACAAATGTAATGAGATGCCTAAGTCGGGCAAAGTATTACGATACAAGCGATACATTGTAAATGTATTTGAGTAATGAGATACAAATACATTTTACAAATGTATCTTGATACAGAGATAAAGATACTCAAAAAGTATCTCGAAGACACTATCGCGATACATTTGTATCGCGATACTGCCCAGCCCTGGTTTTAAATGACAAGTGGAATTTTAAATGGACTTAGAAATATGTTCAGGACGCTGATACTTAGAAATATGTTCAGGACGCTGATATTTGGTAAGACAACATTCATTAGTGTGAAGCAAATGAACACTCAACATATGGGACTTTGATGCTATCGTACTAAAATTGTGCCACTATACTAAGAAATTTTTTACACAGCTAGCGGAAAATGCAGTTCTGGAATTCCTTCAGTATGTAGGGATATAAACTACAGCAAAGCAATAAAGAATGTTTTTGAGTTCGTTAGTACTGTCCAAAATGCTTATCTCGGCACCAAACAGACTATTCTACTAAGGTACATCAGAGCATAAAAAAGGAACTGTAAGATATACCTTTTTTTTTAGGCTGGAGAGTGAAAGTGTGATCCTCGTTTATTCGTCATGTTTCCACTTCTCTCATCTATTTTTTGTCCATCATTCTTTTTTCAATTAGAAAGAATTGAGGGACCTTCTGCATCAAATCCTACCTGATGCTGGATGTTTCTTGATATTTAAAATTGTTTCTGCGATCAGTACACTTTGGAGCGTTGCAAAAAATGTCGTTAACATAACCTGTACAAGATAAACAAAATTTCGTTGCACGATTCTTATAGTTAATGAATATTCATACCTAACGTCCTCAGAATTTCGCATCAAAATTCTGTAAACTGCGAATATGATAATAATTTATTAAAAATAAAAATAGCCACACACTGTGCCTCGTGTTTTGAAAGTCAAAGGAGCGAGCGAGCAAGCAACTTAAAAGACACTTGCCGTGCAAGGGTTCATGGAACAAGAGTTTTTTGCCAAAACTGCGTTCTTAGCCTGTGACCTTTGTTTAGCAGCATATTAATAAATGTATGATCATGAGTACATGTATTTATTTTCTGCCTTATTTCTAGACAATGAAATATTTTCGGGCATGTATGCCATAATTATCAGAGTTGCAACTAAATTGTGAATGATAAATCACTCTTTCAGGTACTTTCTAATCCCATTACGAAACCAACTACATTGATTTTTTAGCGGAAAAAGATAACTCTGCCACATACAAAAAGTCAAGTCCTAGTATGAGGGAAAGGAGTGCCATTACATTATAGAACCATGGTATCTCAATTAATTTGTTGCACCAAATATGTTTTCTTTGAACTGGTGGGAAAGCTTTTTTCTAAGCGTTCATAATTTCACTGATTCTTTACTAAAATAAAATAGGCAACCAATGTTTTTTTTTTTAAGTACTGGATTACCGGCACTATACTTTCTTTTTAAAAGTAGATGACCAGTAACACGTTTTTATATATTCGAATCACAGTTCATTGTTAACACTAAATTGCAAATTTGCTAGCATTCAATATGCTCAATGTCGCAACCCTACATTTGATACCTGCAGGCGGAATTAGTATGGATACTGCGATAAAAACTTTGTGATAATTAATTGGCATCAAGAGCCCGAAACCAACGATGCATGGACGTGCTTGTTCATGAAACTAAATTTGTCGCCAAAAAGTATACCTACTTGAAAGTTTCTTTGCATGTCGTGCTGCATGGCTCATTTTCTAAATAGTACTTCGGCGAAATATTTCCTGCAAGTACATAATCAAGTGCGATGTGGTCGTCAAAATGATGATGAAAAGAATGAGCTCAAAGTGCCAGCAGCATTTGTCGAAGCATGGCATTTGCATGCGTGGAGAGTGATTTCCCCGCATAACTTTGAACTTCAAGATGGATGAATGAACAACTCTGCTCCCAATGGGCGCGTTCAGTAGCGGCGCCAGGAGTCAGCGCTCCTTCCACTAGACGGCAAAACCGACTTTCGGTGCACGTTACTCCCGAGTTTTCGGAGTCAGGCTCTCATGCACCGTCTCTGGAATCGGTGCATGAGGAGTGAAAGGAGTGCAGCATGACACAATTCCGGATCGCTGAAAAAATTCCAACGCTAAAAGAGAAAAAAAAATGGCGGGATAAGCTGCGTTGGTGCGTTGGTTTTGTCGTGGGCATGCAGTTTGCTTGCTTTTGTTAATGAAAAGTGCTCAAGGTAAGACGAATAACGTGTCGGAAAATGCATTGGACCATATTTTGTTTGGTTTAAATATGCTAACAAACAACGCAAATGGTTCATTTGTAGCTGTGTCTTGATCGCCGTTTGTTGCACGGAAACTCGGTGAATATCGACGATAGTCCCGTCCGCGCTGAACAGAGCAAGGCAGGGTATGCACGCGGCTTTGGTAGCCAGTTCGACACTCACGCAGAGCATGATACCGTTTAATGGTTTGTTTGCGTAGCTAAACCGGGGTGTACGTTGGCTGACGTTCGCTTCGGCCGACGAAACCTTGATTGCCGAGTGCAGCCAAACTTCCCGTGTGTATACAAATACATTTTATAGGAAGTTCGTAAAGAAGGGCAGAACAAACGCATGGCCGTATCAAAGTATCGCAACCGGCGGCAGAGATTCACTGAGCTCCATATTTTGGGTATGCTGACGACGTTTTTCTCAGTTTTTATAACAGAAGCAGCCTTTGCACTGCCCTGCGAAGGGCTCGATGGCGTTGGATCGCTTCAAACAGCAGCGCTGATGTGTACAGCCACTCGCTTTTTCTTGAACAACCTTGTCAAGACTTCTTCAATACCGGCGTCAAATAAAAGCGATCGTGCTTGGCATCGTCTGCTTCCATTTTATTCGGAGACTGTCTGGCAGGGGAGAAAGCGGAAATTGCGTAGAAGCAACTGAGGAGCCATGTTTTTTTTTTGTCGTTCAATAGGCGCATCGAGGACTCCAACTCGAGTTACTCCGTTCGGAGCTGAGGGAGCCGCTACTGAACGCGCTCATTGGAGCTTATATACAAGAACCCTAACCCACACTAACATCATTCAGTGATGTGATTGGCCTAAGCCGTTTTGGAGCACCTTTTGGAGCAGCCAAAACAGTGTTTCGGAGCAGCAAAAAGTGGCTTTTGGTGCAGATATTCTTAGAAAAATAAAAATATTTGTTTTAAGTGCTGGATAAATGAAGGGCACTTTGCTCGCTGGAATAAACAAATTAAATGCCAGTGACATGACACATTTTGCAATGCTTCAGTTAAATGATATGTATATGTACCCGCTATAGATAAATAAGAACCATACGGCACATATTATATTTATTTGAAAATGACCAGCATAGTGGTAGTAAGTATCAAAGCAAAAAGTTGACTAGAGTATTTATATAATATAATAAAGGGAAGCAGTCTCTGACTGATGAGACACGTAAGTAGTGCAGTGCAATGCGAAACTGTATACAAGAAAAAGGTCCAGTACGACTAGCCGGTGCTTTTCCTTTTGCTTTTCGAAACTTTCTGCAAGGCTGCTGAAAGCCTCGGTTTGCCTTTGGCAAGTAATGAATGTCCACTTCTAATGTCTCTTAAGAGACATTCAGTTATCCCACAAGTGTACAGTGCTGTAGGCATTGCCGAGCAATTCCAAAAAACCACTTGCCACCGTTTTACTGGTTCCCCATGTGCCAGATTTTTGTCAAAAGCAAGCAAATGTAAAGGAATGGATTGCAAGCATCCTGGCTGATGCCTCTGTGGTGCAATCATGTTCGCTTGCACGTGAGGGAAACTTCGGCAGCTTGCAGTTGCATGTGCATTGTCGTGCGAGCGGAGACAGCTGTTCTATCAAAACCAAAACCTTGCCACTCCACTCCGTCGGCAACTGGTTCCCAAAATGTAACGGTCCAGAATACCACAAAACACAGTCCAGTCCAGTGGCGCGTGCTTGCCAGGCCGGCAGGCGAGGTACAAGCTAAACACACACAAAAAAAAAAAGAACCTGGGCGCATCGATGCAAGACATTGCGAGTCAGGGTCAAAAAGTTCTTGGAGTGCTTTGTGCAACTACTGAACTCGAAACAAACAAGCGCGCTGTGCGGGTTCAGCGTGCAGACATTGCCTTTTTTGCTTTAGCTCACTTGTCTTCACCAACTTTCTTTCGCGGCAAACTTTTCATATACCAGGATCCCTCTCAAAAAAAAGCCCACCGAGAGAAACCTAGGTAATCAATACTTCGACACAGGTCTTTGGGTTAAGGAGGGTTTTTTGTAGTAGCATATGATCTAAACAAGGATAGAAATGTTGATGACCTTGTAGCGGTCCTTACATTTCAGTTTAGAAAGCGCCATATCTGCAGCGACGTGGGGACGGCAACACCCGACGTCATGCAACCACGGTGACTGGTAGGCAGAGATCAAATATAGTTTCCCCACGGCCGATGCTTTCAGGAGCGAGAGGTTCAGGTCACAAAGTAACTCCCGCCGCGCAAAAACGTGGTTTCATTTCACAACATGACAGCACGGCTGGTACCCAGCACGCTAGCGTCGGAGCGTCCACACACGCTTGCATCTATCGTTACAAAAATTTAAGAAAGACGCGAGACCAGACCCACGAGACGACGAGAGCAGGAAACGAAAGACGGCGGGAAACACTATGCAAAACTGAATGGATGATTAATGCAGGGTACTTTGTGTCAGGTGGCCGCTTGCGCCACCTAACTCACACAGGCTCAATTACGGTACTCAGTTTAGTTTCAATTTTGAAAGGCGACCGAAATCGGTCCTTTGGCACAGGCTTGGCGCAGATTACCCATATTTCGGCAAAATGTAGCAGGATGCATCAGAATTAGCCCCTTGGCGCAGTTTGGCGCAGCAATCACATCACTGCTCATTCCATCCTGACAGTGATCTGCCCTACTTGTTCTTCCCTAGAAAAACAAATATGGCCATGCGAAACAATAGTGGGAAAGGTATGTGCTCAGCAGCATAACAAAATTTGTATAAATAATACATTGAACTGGCTGCAATTAAAGTTTTCACAAAGCCACCTTTAGGTAGGTCTTTAATTATATTCAAACTTCATGGGTGCAGATTTTAGGTAAGCTTAGGTAGGGTAAGTATGAGGTAGGGCAAGTATTTTCTTGGCACACTTCATTTGGTCCAAATAAACGCCACAGTAAAGGCTGAAGCGCATGTGAGCGATTTAGCGAGCGACAGAAAAAGCAACGGGAGTTGGTGAAGAGCAACGGAGATTTCTCACTGTCGCTTGCCGAATCGCTCGGTTTTCGGATTTCTAGAAATTTCTAAAAATCTGTGTCTGCAGTGCCGTCCGAAGGGAAGCTGGACGACGCGTGTATCACAGGAAGCTCGTTAACCCCCCCCCCGCCTGAATTCACACCGCTTGGCGGTGACAGAATGCGGCTGCTAATTACAAAACTATTAACGCACTTGGCCCCGTTGCGCACGCCGCTTCAGCTGGACGCCGCGAAGCGGCTGCACGCCGCTTCGCGGCGTCCAGCCGGCAACACAAGCTACGCTGTCCCCCATGCACTTCCAGAAAGGGAGTCACATGCCATTTTGTTCAGCAAGGTTTTGTCAACAACCTTAGTTTTCTTTGTTTTTCAGTGTTAATCGTAAAAAAAGAATGCAGTGTCTAGCGTTACGTTCGACAGAACCCGAAATAAAGATTAAAGTTACGTCCCACGTAACTTTACGTCAAGGATTCGAGTAACGTCCGATGTAACCCAATATGAAAATTAAAGTTACATGCCGAACTCGAAATCAAAATTAAAGTTACGCTCGACGTAACTTTACCCCAAGGTTTCGAGTTACGTCTGACGGAACTCGAAATAAAAAATGAAGTTACCCCCACCCGCTGCCCGTTTCGACCTGGATGAGTTTCGTACCGGCGTAGGTCGTGGTATCGGCACGGGTCCGTGTAATTACTACTGCGTAGTGCACGTTAAAGACTCCAGGTTAGCAATTGTACTGCACTGGCTAACTTTCTCATCTACAGCTAAGAACCAAGTCACGTGTGGAGGCGTACTAGCATCAAAACTGTCTAAACATACGAGCAACACGGTTTTTCTAGATCATGGCGCATATAGGTAGGTAGGAACCAGGGCCATACCCAGAAAAAAATTTCAGGGGGGGGGGGGGGGAGTTTCAAGGACAACGGCGGCCATTTTGAAAATGTCTATTGTCTTATTTTCGCCTATGAATCATGTGCATCGGCGGCATATAATGGAGAGTTATAGCAAACCGAAGAACCGGTCCCGGTTTGGTACCCGGTAGCCGACCGGTGCCACTGCGCGTGCGCAGAGATCGAGATTAAAATCGGCTGGCTGCAAGTGCACCGACTAGGGCCATACCCAGAAAAAAATTTTGGGGGGGGGGGGGGGGTCAGAACCCCCTAACCCCCCCCCCCCCCCCCTGGTTATGGCCCAGGTAGGAACGTTAATTTCACTTTTTTGCAGTAAGAAATGCTGCAGTGAAGGGGCTTTAGACCCTTTAGACGAGACGATGGGCCCTCAATCTGTCATATGATCCACGAACCAACACCCCAACACTGATATCTCAGGCTCGCAGCATGCATGCTGTGGTTTCCATTTTGTTAATGTTTTTCTTTTCTTTTGTGTGTCGCATCTAAGAAGTGGTGTCATATCAACAAAAAAAATCCTCTTAAAAAAATAATTGCTAAAAAAATAAGAAAGAAAAACGAAAAAAGAGAAAAAGCGTACGTGACGGGCATACGCAGCTTCTACATACGAGGCACACACTCCAACCCCCTCAACGAACCTGGAGATACGGAGAGTCGTGATTTTAACCAATTTACGAATGCTGCATCAGGTGTAACGCTGAAGTAATTTATAGTATTTTTGAGTTTACGTCGTGTTTCGGCCACAAAGCGTAACATTCAATAAGGAATAAGTTTACGCTGGCTTAACACAACAACAAAAAATATGACAACAACACAGACGTTTCGCCACCTATCCGGGTGGCATCATCAGTATGAACTGGCCCGGTGGTGGGGAGAGTCAGACCAGTCGACTCTTATCTAACAAGTCCCCGTAAACGTCCGGTAGGGGGCCCCGGTCCGGTAGGGGTCACGGCGAATAAACCATGATTCCACGAACTTCCTCGGGCCCCAACGCTACTTGGAAGTTCGGAGAATCGTGGTTTATTCGCCGTGACCCCAGGGCGTGCAACAGAAACGGGGGCCTCCTACCGGACGTTTACGGGGACTTGTTGGATTAGAGTCGACTGGTTTGACTCTCCCCACCACCGGGCCAGTTGATACTGATGATGCCACCCGGATAGGTGGCGGAACGTCTGTGTTGTTGTTATATTTTTTGTTGTTGTGTTAAGCCAGTGTAAACTTATTTTATTATGACTACCCCTGGCTTTTGGAACATATTAGCACATTCAATAAGGTTCCGTAGGTTACACAGGCCGTAACTTATTTCCGCCGGACGTACAGTACCCCTCAAAGTAAAACGGAGCGCCGGAGCGGCCATCGAATTGCATCGCCGCGCTATCTAGCAGCACCGGCTGCAACTGATAGGTGCCGTCTGCGCATCCGCGCATGCCGTTCACAGTGTCCTCCGTCTTTCTTGGTTGATCTTTGCATTATCGGGGTCTCGAGCTGCCAAACGCTGTTCGAATAAACACCGCTAGGTGTTCGGCTCACACACGGAGATAACGCTGAGGGCAAGTGGGAAAGGGCCAGTGTTGTCGATGAGCACTGCTCCTTGTGCTATCAGGCGTCGATTTTAGAAAGATCTTTGCGCCACTCGAACCACCGATAACGTGTAGGTTGGAAGAAGAAAACGGAGGCCCCGGCGGAAGGCACGATCGCATGCGCAGATGTAGCCTATCAGATCCAGCCGGCGGTGCTACATAGCGCGGCGATGTAGTTCGGTCTCCAATTCGGCGCTCCGTTTTACTTTGAGGGGACCTGTAACTCAAAACCTTGACGTAAAGTTACTACGCTACAGCTTTGAAAAACTCGTTTTGACTATTTACTTTACACGAGACTTTTGGACGGCACTTGAAGGCGTGAGTGGAGTGCCATCGGACGGCACTTGAACGCTCTGCAAGGGTGCCGTCAGACGGTACTCTACACTACGTTCTAGAAAACGTCGCTCATCGCCTCGGTCGCTTGCTCCCATCGCTTTCATGCGGTTTGCCTCGTCGTGCGACTGACCGAGCGACAGCGAAGCGGGTCGCCGTCGCTTGTCTTGTTGCTCGCCTAATCGCTTGCATGCGGTTTATACGTTAAAGGAGCTGTGCAACAATTTCAGGGCTTTGCTTAAATAATTGTGGAAGTTGATGCCTGACACTTCTGCAATAAACAACAGCAAACAGATTTTGCCTGGATACCCTAGTTTTTATTTAAAAAAATGAAAAAATCCAGGTTTTTGCCGCCTCTCAACTCGTGCATCGTCTTCCAGGTCACGTGCGCAGTGACGTCACTTGAGTAGGCGCGGGGTTCTGGAAAAGTTCTCTCTTAAGAGCCACCAGCGAGCAGCGAGAACTCATCCGCTCGCGACCGCGTGACCACGTGCTGGCGGGCGCCCCGCGAAATATATGGTGAAAGGAGGAAAGTCTCATCCGGGTCCGGCCATACCCGTCCTTCCCCGTCCGGCGCTGTCCCCCTCCGGCTTCTGGCAGCTATTCGCGGTTTTGTTGACCTCGGATAGATGGCGTTACTAAAACTTCGTATAATAAAGTTTTGTTGATGATACCAGGGTTTTGACGCATGCATATGTATGTTGGAACGACAAGATTTATAGAAAAGTTACCTTTTATCGAGCAGTTATTAGCACAACTTGCTATATTTTTTCGCTGTGTCTAAAGGTACGTCGGACGTATCCGGATCTCAGAGTCTAAAGATACGTCGGACGGATCCGGAACTCGGAGTCTAAAGATACGTCGGACGTATCCGGATCCCAGAGTCTAAAGATACGTCGGACGTAGCCGGCGAATGCCACCGGTCCGTCGGACGCACCCGCTGATGCATTTCGAGCTGTCCAAAAGCGCTCCGCGATCGCGAGTCGCGCTTTCTCGCACGCTCGCACTTGCATTTACATGATGATGATAGCTTTATTTTCAAGGGAAGACGACAATGGTTTTCGTTGCTCTGTTTTGCATTTACAACTTTAGGACTAGGTTAAAAAAAAAAGTTTTGATGCTTGTTACAAATCAATCCAAATTCGGTTTTAACAAAAAAAGGTCACTATTTTAGAGTAGTATCGCACGCCAAAGGGAGGATTTGTCCGATTTGTCAGCTTGTGACCCGGTGCGGCCTATCCACGTGACCGCGAAGTGTTCTGTTGACGAAAGCTTGACAGGTCAACATTAAAGGGGCAGTGCAACAATTTTCAGACTTTGTCCAATTAACTGCGGAAATTAATCTGCGTCACCTATGGAACGAAAAACCGAAAGCCGCGTTTTCTTGCGACCGCTAGTTCTTATTTAAAAAAATTAACCAAATCGAAGGTCAAAGTGCCTCCCAACTCTCCACGCCGACTTTCGAGTGACGTCTCTGGGGGTTCACGTGGTCACCCCTTGGGCCTTCTCTTCAGAGACCCCAGCCGCTTCCTCCGCGATTGTCGACTTTCAAAGGATTAGCCTCGTCGAAGGTCGCGGCGAGCGATGGACACAAAGGACGGTTCGCCAGGGGGCTGACGGCGAGTGTAGCAGCGGAGGGGGACAGGGTTTGTTGACTTCCGCGCATCCCCCAGAGACGCCGTCATTTTAGTTCCCGTAGCCGCCACCGGCGGCTGCAGATCGGCAAATAATTCCTCTTTGCCTTGCGATTACGCAGCAGAATAGCCGTTTTTTCGGTAAAGGTGACGCGTTTTTGGTCACTTGGGCTTGTATAAACAATATAAAAAATGCAAACTGGCAATTCTTTCAACATTAAAATCGTTGCACTGCCCCTTTAATGGGTATTTGTTTTTTGAATGAAATGATGTTCCCTTTCGTGATCCAGTCTTTGTGCTTAAAGTTTTTCTGTTTTCCTCTGGAGATCAGCTTTTGATTGTTTTCGTTGTATGCAAGGCTGTAAAATTTGCTTTCATTTTTTTTTTTTTTTTGCATAGGGGGAGGAACTATAGCCATAAGTCAGTTTTAATCGTTTTAATGCTTGCGTGATGACCAATATTTCCGTAGTAAATTATTATTCTATAGCAGCTGCAATAGGGTAAGAACTGAGTCAATCGTCATTTTAGCCAAGAATAAAACACACTGCATGTTTTGCACGTCTGTACGAAACGAAACTTGTTTAGGCTCCGGGTTACGGGTACATCGGTTGATGCTCTTCAAACTCGACAGTTGAGCCGGTTGAGCTCGCCGTGCCGGTGTTCGGGGATCCCAATACGCCCGACGTATGTTTAAAGGCAGTGTCTATTCTTCCCGAAGCCGGAAGAATAATTTTTCCGAAATTCTACCGGGAGTCGCGCGCTAGGATGCTCGAGGGATTCATGTACCGCTGTTCGGTGGCAATCCGTTCATCGGACGACGTTTTATCGAAAGATCGTTTCATCAAAAGTTCGTTACCACCTCGAATGAGCTACTTTTTCTAATGAGCCGCCTGTCTGCCGCCGCGAAGCGGCGTGGACGGGTAGTCGGCATAGATTAACGCGGGTCCCAGTGGTGCACGCGCGACGAAATTTCCGGATACGTCCGACGTATCTTTAGACTCCGAGTTCCGGATCCGTCCGACGTATCTTTAGACTCTGGGATTCGGATACGTCCGACGTACCTTTAGACACAGCGATATTTTTTACAACTACCCAAGTGACGTCACGCCGCGTGTTTCTCATGGCTGCCGCTCGCGGCTGCAGGTCGGGAAATATTCTATGTGTTGCTTCGCTATTACGCGGCGGAATCGCAACATTTAGATAAAAGAAGGTGTATTTTCTGCCATTTGTGACACCGTGATAAATATCAAAAGCAGAAGATGCCAATTCTTTCAACGTTAAAATCGTTGCACAGCTCCTTTAAGAACCCTATTTATGCCGTCCCTTCAAACGGTCGTCGATCCCTTTGACCCACGCGGTAGTTACCTGATCTTCCCTTTATCGAGATCGGCACTTACCGCTGGCGTGCGCAGAGTCAAAACCAGTCCATCCGTATCGGCGCCCTCCTTTGCTCCTTGAAGTGCTTGAAATTTACCCCAGAAGGAAGATCTCAACAAACGAAGCTATCCACCAGAAGGAGTCGCCAAAAATTGCAACACTGAGTCGGCCGTGAATACATTTACAAATATTTCCCGATTTTAGAATTTTATTTTGTTCAAACAAACTTGTAAACTTGATTATGAATATTCTTAATTTATTATATTTCAATTAGTTTTTGTCCAGTTTAGTTTGATTTCTTTCAAAACGGTAACTTAATACATTCGCCAGGAGGCTCGTTTTAATTCAGGAACGAAACCGAAACTAACCTTATTTTGGATTGACTTTTTCGCGCAGTGAGATAGATTTAAATTTCGGTTTCTTTTCTACTTCAAGTCCCACCCAGTAGCTTTTCAGCCAAAGAAGTGGTTCGCGGAGACTTTATTTTGTGACATACGTGTCCGATCCAGACACTTCAAAATTTTTTTCAGGAGTTCAGTCCGTCCTACACCGACGAGATCCTCAGGATTGGACAAGATTCATACCATCTGCAGTTTCTGTTGTTCAGTGATGAGGTGACATTTCACCTGGACGGGCAGGTGACAGAACTACCGCTATCGGAGTTCGACAAATCCGCACTGAACGCTCGAGAAAGCTTTGCAGTCGCCGAAGGTAACAGTCTGGCGTGGAATTTGGCGAGAGGGCGTCGTTGGCCCCTGTCACGATCCTTCTAGAACGTGGACGAAAGGGACCGAAGCACCCGCCGAGAAGAGACGACACGCAGCCTGGTTGTGAGGGTGGACGACGACGACGACGACTGACCGGGGCGGCGTAAGCTCCACGGTGTTTATTGGCGCGGTGACCAATCCGCCGAGCCTGGCGGCTACAGACGGGTGGACGGGAGCGCTACATACTGTCACAGCCCCTTTTTCTTCAATGACAACGTAACATATGGAAGCACCAAGATGATGCAGCATGAATTCCTTCCCGAGTTGGAAATACGGCACGCAGCGGAATGTATGCATATCTTTTTGCAGGATGGTGCGCAAACCCACTGATCGACGACTGTAGGCACGGGCTGGACAACACCTTCCCAGGATGCTATGGATGGGCCGGGGATTGCCGAACATGCCGTGGAAGCGCCCCGATCTCCAGACCTCACGATATCCGACTGTTTCGTTTGGGGGTTTGTGAAGTCCCAGGTGTACAAGGGCCGCATCCGCGCACTCGACGCCTTAAGCAGCGCATCGAGGCAGCGTTAGCTCTCATTACGTAAACGAGGTGCGAGCTGCTACATTCGGAGAGTACGTGACCAGGACTTGGCCTGTGCACTTGGCGCCTAGGAAGCCACGTTGAAGCCCTGGTTCCAACCGAATTCGAGCCGCATTGCCCTGCCTAGAACTGATCTGAAAAGAAACAAGCTCACACCTTCCCGTCAAGTGTACGGTTTATTTATTTTAATACCCTGACAAAGGCCCTTTTTAGGGCTGCCAAAAGCTGTCGTCATGGAGCCTGGCCACTCTTGACGCGCCTGCTTCCCCGTGTCTCTGAATGCCCATGCAGATTATATTCTTTGTCTGTGCCCTCTTATCTTCTCAGATATCGCTTACTTTATTACATAGAGTTCATCTTATGCAGTCCGGCGTCGTACACAATGTTACGTACACCTGTAAATCAATGAAAGGCTCACGTCACAACCACAAAAATGCAGAGCCAGCTGATGAATCAACAAAACATCTTCATTTACGACAAAAGAAAAGCATTATACAAATAAACAACTGAGCGAGCCTAACTTAAGTTAAAAAAAAAAAAAAAAAAAAAAAAAAAAAACAGTTTACTAACAATCTGGAATTGTACCCAAACCGAGCGGAGCACCTGAGAAACGGTAAGTAAAACCGAAACTAACCAGAAAACCTTTGGCCGATTGAAGCGTCATCTGTGAGATGCGGTCACAAACAGAGGCATTTCGTCTGCTGCTTCCCTTGGCTGCTCCTCACGGACGGCGTTCCTTCATAGGCGAAAACAGTTTTTTACCTCTAACTTTTTATTCCGGTAATGGTAAGTGTTGACGTTTTGGTGTCTTGCTCGAACGGTTGGGGCTACGTTTTGACTAATAGTTGGAACTCCCCGCACTGTCTAGTTTATTTTTGCGGTGCGAAAAGCCGGTCGTAGCTCGAGCGAGCTCGGCTCGCTCATGTAGCGATTGTGCTTCTCTGTTCGGTTCCGAAGGACCCAGGTGAACATAACCAGTCTTCTTCATATGGCAACGACGACGGATGTACAGCTGTGACACAACGAAAATGGAAAAGCAGCGAAGCGCGATCCTCTGGCGGGGTGCACTGAATCGACGGCGGCTACCGAGAGGCGCGCCCGCAGTGTGAACGTCGGTGGTCGCTTGTCGTAGGAGTCGCTCTTGGCACTGGGTGCTCTTGGCTGACCGACTACACGGTGTATAAATATCCACACACCCCAATTATTATGAGTCGCTCTCGCCACGCTCTCGTGACTGTCGCTAGTCGCCAGAGCGTCAGAAGGGAAAGCAAGTCACCAGTAGAGCACTATATAGCTCTCTAGTCACCAGCAGTCGCCAGAAGGGAAAGCAAAGTCGCCAGAGCGTCAGAGCGCCAGAAGGGAAAGCAAAGGAAGTTTCGCGGGCATTGGCCTTGTATGTGTCTTTGGTTAGGGGAGGGGGCCCTTTTTCACCCTTTTTTTTTTTCACTGACCAGGGGGCGCGAGCCGCCGCCCATTTCGAGGGCTTGAGTTTTAACCACTGTTTTAACCGTGTTCCTTGATCCATCGCCCGTTTTGCATTATTTTCAGCAGCGAATGATTTTCAGCAACAACAGCAGCCCCGCGTGAGAGTGAAGTTGATTTCACGCTCGAAGACTTCACTACTCAAGAAACAGGTACTGCTCCTAAGACTGAATCGTTAGGTGCGAGGTGATAGCTTTGACATAAACTTCGCTAGTCCCTGCTTACGGCGGTAACATTGTTTCAACGTTGACTTGTCGCGCTTTTGCGCCCGAGTAGCGTCCTTTGAAGCCGTGAAAACGTCGTGCTCACTTGTCCGTTTGAAGCAATAAACGGACTAATTAAAATTAAAAGGAGACTCGCAGGTAAACGAGTAGTGGACGAGTGTCACGGTGCGAGGAGGGTATGTTTGTCAGTTCGCCGTCCATTGCCTTGTTTGGCAGCGAGATTGCTTACATGTGTCGTTACGAAGCAAGGTTGTAATCACATTGATTAGATTGGCGGCTCGAAGGTTTCATGTTTCTTCCTAATAAAAATTCAGTTGTAAGTCAGCGCTTGTCGTGTACATTCCTCTCACTCGTCCTTCGTCTAAATTTTGCGCTTTTTAGGTTGTAGTGGATCAATGTAGTGATGCAGGCGAGTTGATTCGTGAATACAAACTGTTAGCAGCGCGCAAAAAATAGAGACAAAGGGAGGAATGGACTGGACGAGTGCCCAACTTCGACTGAACGTTTAATGAAACGCAGTGTCTAGCGTTACGTCCGACGGAACCCAGAAAAAAAAAAAAAAAAAAATAAGGCCGACTCACACAGGGCGTGCACAGGGCGTATTCTCGACGAATTTACTTACATTTCAGCGGGCGTAATCACGGCTTTTGACGGGCGCTTTTTTCACAGAATGGAAGATGGGAAGGTCGCCAAACCGCACGCGGCGCTTTTCGTCGACGTCTCCACGGCGTTTGGTGTAGTGTAGCCCGACTCTCGCCTTTCATGAAAGGAGGCAAAGTTTAGATCGGCAGCTATATTATTGCGTTCCGCAAGGGGACAGAAATAACTAAATGTTAATCAACCACGAAAGCCTAATTTGCTAACGACTGTTTCATAAATGTTCCTTGCAATCGGCAAGTTGCCAACAAGTCCCGGCAGGAGGACGTTCTCCGCTCAGAACCCTTCCTTTCATAATTGTTTCACATCACCCGCGACAGAGATAGTACTTTCTTCTGTCTCAGTCGTTCATTGCACGTTCCAAAGAAATATCGCGATTTTGTACAGTTCGCTATAAACCGTCGAACGCACCAAGCGAGCTTCCGTTTCGGCGGCTTAGTCGAGCCAGTCTGCCATCCGCATAGCTAGTCAAGCCAATCCTGGAGCAACATCTGGCTGTCAACTCGGGAGCTGATTGGCTGGCACCACGCCGTACGCTTCCGGATACGCCACGCCGAAATACGCTGAAGCACCTAGATTTGTCTCGGTAGGGTCGCTGAATATGCGCATATTTACGCCGACCTCGAGGCGTCGTGGAAGCGCTCGTCCAGACGCCGCCGACACGCCCGTAAAAGTTACGTCCACGTAACTTTACCTCAAGGTTTCGAGTTACGTCCGGTAGAAATAAATGTTAAAGTTACGCCCCTGTGTAACTTACGCAACCTTATTCAATGTTACCCTTTACGGCCGATACATGACGTAAACACAAAACATATTGTGAATTATTACTCGTTAAGTCTGATGCAGCATTCGTTGATTGGTTAAAATTGTGACTCCATCTGTACCTCAAGGTACAGATGCCCATCACATTATTATTGTTTTCTTTCTCCTATTTCCCCTTTTTTTAAGACAAATTTTTTTCTCCTTTAAGACGATTTCTTGCAACACTTTCTGAGAATCATAGACATTCGGAGTAATTATTGAGAGAGGTTGAATGGTAATGTGATACGAACATGCTGTTTACAGCAGCAGGGTTTCTGGCAGACTTGTTGAAAACTCTCACAATCTCCACGTACCACTCAAGTCGCCACGCGCATTAGCTTTGGCAGTGTATTCTTCCAGGGTGTCTTAAATGAAGAAATGTTTCGGGAGGGCCGCCCTGGTACGAGAATGGCAATAGACCCTCAGCCTTTAGCCATATTAACTATGTTATCAGCCCGAGCCAGCAAGGGCTACAAGCAGGTGTAACAAACACAGCAAAAATAGCAAGAAGTGTTTTCATATAAAAAAAAGAAATTCAATAAATTGTTTTAAAGGAGGGGAAAGAAAAAGAAAGAAATGTATGTGACGGGCATCCAACCCACCCAGCTTCAGCAGCCTCCATGTGTGAGGAACACACTCCAGCCCTCCCAACAAAGCTGAAGGTACGGACAGAG